ACACCTTCCAAGGACACCCCCATCCTCTGTATACTGCCCCCTGCATAATACCCCCCTATGCATTCCAGGTGGTCAATACATTTTACAACTTCCACATAAGACCTCGCACCTACTGCTGACAAGACGGAAAAACATATTACCCCTGACTACTTGTTGTAATACCCCTTTACACTTGTCTGGAGTACAGTGCAAATTACCCTTACCCCCCTTGTGTAATACCCCCTACATCAACCATAGATGACAGTATAGCGATCATCCCAGTTGTATGCCCAACACCCTGCCCCCCAATTTCCACCCCTTTACTTTTCCATTAACAAGGTGCCTCCACTCTTGGCCCCTTCTGCATTATACCCCGCCTTATCATGGGGGCACCGAGGGGCAAACACTCCCCTGTCAACATTTGTGTCCTGCACAGGTGGAAGACCCCGCACCTTATTCCTCTGCGTACTGTCTCTTCCCTGGGGGTCACCATACACTGTCCCTGTCCTTGCTCTCCTTATGTACACTTACCCCTTTATATAGGTTACCCCTTTATATCGCACACTCTGCCTCAAGCATTTCCCCGGCACACTTCTTCTTTACTCCAAAATAATGTCTTACAAGGCACTGTGCCATACCCCATGCATCCTACCCCCTTCCTCCACCACTAACCTGAGGGCTCCTCAGGAGGGAGACCCTATACCAGGGGTAGCCAAACTTCAGCCCTCCAGCTGTTGTGGAACTACAAGTCCCACGAGGCATTGCAAGACTGACAGCCAGAGGCAGATGCGTCACGGATTTGTAGTTTCATCACAGCTGGAGGGACTTCGGAGACACCTACCTTATACCCTGCACCTCATATAGACTCAACCCCTCGAGTGGAGGTTTTATCAGACCGTTTACCATCGCAGACCCATCCCTCCCTCCCATGTAACAAAGAACTTGCAGCCGTTTCTCTTGCGCTTTGCAACTCCTTTGCCTGCAATATCAGACAGCAAACTGCAGCATTGTGCAACCTATTTACTATTGTATTTGTATTTTTTAAAATGAATTTAGGTGATATGTACACTTAAATCTGAAGGTAAATTACATTGTTTTGGGGGGGTGGAGGGGGGTATGCAGCACCAGGGACATAACCTACCTCTATGGAAGTGTGTCCCATGTACTGCTAGGCTGCTGCTTAAGTGACACAGGCTGGCTCCTGAATTCAATATTAATTTGTCCACGCTACAATCATAGCAAAATGCATTGCAGCTGCGCAGACTCACGCATTTCTGGTGTGAACTAGCCCTGATTCATACATCCCTTCTGCGGCTCAGAAGTAGCCTCCATATAAAACATGCCACTGACCCCTTAGGGGTGTGTGTGCGTTTTAAATGTAAAGTGGTTTGTTTTTTTGTACATTTTCTTTCTTTTTAATGAGGTGGAATTTAGTGGAATATACAATATTGTATCATTGTGTATGTATAGCTAAGTAAGGCCTCGTGCACACAACCTCATGAGGACATAAACCACAAATTGCAGTCATATTTCTGTGCCCAGGATACACAGCTGTGGCATACAGCCGCCCATAGTAGTGAATGGGTGTAGGCGGCTGTATGCAGGTTTATGCACTAGCGCAAACCAGCACATGCATACAAGCGAACAGCTAGCCTGCATCCGGAGCGTATGGTTTTACACGCGCGTGCGCATATATGCAAGTAGCGGCTTAAACTCAATAAAGAAAATTAACTTTTTTTATCTTTTTCCCACCCTATCCAAAGGCTTTAACATTTCCTTTGTAAACAAAGGCTGTATGTGTGTGTATATATGTATTACTAGCAAAAGTTTGCCCGTTGGTTTGGGATGAATATGGAAATACATGTTGGTGTTGGCGAAGTCTTCAAGTGACAAAATGCGTGTAGTTGCAGTGATGGCAAGCACAGAAAAGCACGTTGTTGCAGTGTTGGCCAGTGCGTGGCGTTGCGTTGTGTGTGAGTGCCAAAGGGCACATTGGTGCAGTGTGGGTGAGTGCAGGAGTATGCATTGCTGTGCCATCGGCAAACATGCGTGTAATGTCTGCTTGTGCAGGAATGTGTAGTCTTGGTAAAAGCAGAAGTGTACAGTGTTGTGGTGTTGGCAAGTACGGTTTTGTTGGGTGTAGCTGTGACGTTGGCTTGTGCAGCAGAAATGTGTGCAGGTGCTATGCTGGCAAATTCAGAAATGCATGTCATTGTGGTGTAGGCGATTTGCAAGATTGCAGCATTGCGAAGTGTGCACAATTGCAATAAAGGGCAGGTTGGTAAAGTGTTGACAAGTGCATTCTTGCAGAGTTAAGGTGCCCATACACCTTACGACCATCGCAAGACTTTTGTCTTGCGATGGTCGTATGCTTATTGAAAGCTCGTACAATCTGCCCACCTTGGACGGGCAGATCGTACTTGCGATCATCGAAAGCCCGCCCCACTGAGGGGCGGGCTTCCGATGACCGCAATGCCGAACGGGCAGTGTGCGCGTGCGCACACCGTCCTGTTCCACAGCTATCGAACGAGCAGGCTAGAAACCTGCCGACAATCGTACGATTCTCGGCGGGTTTTCGAGCATGCTGGTTCGACAAAAGATGTGCGACCGTACAGTAGAAACGGTCGCACGTCTTCGTTCACACTGCACGATTCTCGTACGATCGCGGGATTTCCCGCGATTCTCGTACGAGAATCGAGCAGTGTATGGGCACCTTTGGCAGTGCAGTTTGCATGCAGGTGCAGACTAGAGTGATATCAGCAGATACAAATATGTGCATCGGTGCCGTGTCTGCAAGTGTAGAAATGCATGTTGGTGAGTGCAGTAGTGTGATATCTGCAACTAGAGTGGCCGTGCTTGCTAGTGCAGAAGTGCATGGAGATGCAGTGTCGGTGTGTGCAAAATTGTATGTTGGTGCAGGCAAGCGCAAAAGCCGTCATAGATTCATAGTCTCTTAGTCGATGAGAATAAATATACCTACAGTTTGTAGTCGACGGGTGCAGAATTGTTGGCTAGTGCAGAGTGTGAAAAGATGCAGTGGTGGCGAGCGGGGTCCTGCTTGCCACGTACAGTGGTGGCGAGCGGGGTCCTGCTTGCCGGGTGCAGTGGTGGCGAGCGGGGTCCTGCTTGCCGGGTGCAGTGGTGGCGAGCGGGGTCCTGCTTGCCGGGTGCTTCTGAACCATTTATGCCACAAATGTGATGTGCGAAGTCTTCCCTTTACCAGATCTGTCTCAGTGGGTGCTCGATGTCCTCCTCCCATGACATGTATAATGTGTAGGTGTAAGAATTGGCATTTCTAGTGTAAGACGGTAGCTATGAAGAGGCCCACACTCGAGATCTGACTTTACTCCTACCCTAGTAGAGCGCTTTAGGGCAATATTCAGTCACAATCTTGGAAATGAAAAACGCACCAAAGTCTTCTCCTCAAAGATGAATCTCTTATTGAATATAGAAGATTAAGATGGCGCCGCTTCAAATTGGCAAAGTTTTGGATCACTTGGGACCCTTTCTAAAACCACTCTGAGATTATATATGATCCGAAATATCTCTAGTTTGGAGTTCATTAAGCAAGTTTAATATTCAATAACAATTCTGTTTTTTCTTAGAGCAGACGACCTCAATGCCATTCCCATTTGTATGATGGCAGTAGATCAGGGCTGGACTAATTCCGGGAGCCAGGTAGCCAGTGCTCCTTAAAAATGACAGCTGGCTCCTTACTTTTGAGGATTCCACTCCAAAAAACAAAAACAAATGTTCCTGGATTGGACAGACTAGCTCCTGAATTCCATATACATTTGTCTACCTCTGCAGTAAAATGTGAGAACAGTAGTGCATGCAGGTTACCAGATGTCTCCTACAACTGGTTGCTACAGTCCTCTTTTAGGCCAGGTTCACTCTTGCGCGATCCATGACCGTGGCAATCGTGCAGGAAACTGGGAGGATTGCTGTGCAGTCACGGAGTCTCACACCACCGCTGAGCGTACTGGTGGTGTCATTCTTTTCTAATGGCACCATAGACGCGCTGAGCAGATCGGGCAGTTTCCTGCCGTGATTCCGCCCGTGCAATCGCAGCTTTAAAAAAAGCCGCGCGCGACAAAAAAAGAAAGGTACATGTACCTTTTTTCAGCGATTGCCACACGGATGCCACCCCATTGAAATTAATGGGGCAGGGTGGTAACTGCACACGATTGGGCGGTCCCAGGATCGCGCAGCTCTGCACCAGTCCTTAAGTTGGCCAAGTCCTGCTGAATTGGCCAAAATTTGACCATTGTTTGGACCCACCTGCCACCGTCAGATGACAATAGACCGTCGGGGAGGATTCCTTTGCATAGATGAAGGAATCCTTAGTAGTGTATGGCCAGCCTTATCCATTCATTGTCCCACTATGGGGGACTTGACACCCTTCCCCATCTACCTTGGCAGCAGACACCCCCTTTAATCATAAGACTCTACCTGGTATCCTCTGTACTTGCAGCAACATGTGTAGGAGATTGCTACGCAGCAGGATTTCATTCCTTCTATTGCTGAAACGGGGACACCTTTGAAGGGACCCTGCACCTTACTACTTGGATTGTAGCAAGGAATCCGATTATCCAATTTCTTATCTCATCTGTGGGATCTCTGCAGTTTTAGGAACATTTGCATCATACTTCTGCCATCCCTGCAGTAGTCTGTGGTGATGGTGGGGGCTGTAGTACACCCACGTCTCCACACTAAGGTAATCAAGTTCTCTTTAAAGATAGCATCAAGCTATAGCGCTGTGCCAGCTTCTGAGCTTCAGGCAACATCAAGGTGGATTAGACGGTTTTAATCACTTGTTTATTTGCAGTGCGCCTGACATTTTCTCCTTGTGTGAAATGATTCTGCCACAGAACTTCTCAGGTGGCAGATGTGTTGTCATTGGCATTTCTGCGCAGGTTTTTCAGCGGACGAGGACAGTTGTTTGCAGACCCTCACTTCACAGCCAGTTACAAGGTGCTGGGTACAGGGATCCAAATGTGAATATTTTTGCACAATTTCCTGCGTCTTAAACTGCGTGGTGAATTTTGTATCATTGCTTTCAGTGGAATGGTGCTCACAAGGGGGGTTGCAGTTTAGCTGTTTGTTCTGACTTGCTTCTTCTATAGAGTTGAATGCATCACTTTATATGTGTACGAGCAGGCTGATACGAAAAGCAAGAAGTACCAATCTGTGGTGGATGAGTGATAAAGAAAATCCAAGCAGATTAAATGTCCTACAGTGAATGGGAACTGCCATTGCTGACTTGTTAAAGCCAACCTGTGATTTGCGCAAGCACTGCAAAGGAGAGAAGAGCATCTTATGTCTGTTACCTTTTATAGTGAACATGTCGTGTTGGGCGCTACCATTGGTCACTTTTCTGAACGTGCAATCTCAGGCCTGGAATCCAAATTCCAAATACTTAAAGGAGAACTATGAGGTGAGTGCTTTTCACTCACCTCATAGTTCTAGCCGACCTGTGACAATGAGACTGTCACAGGTCGGCTCTGTAGATCGAGAAGTGAGTGAACACATACCAGCGTTCGCTCACTTCTCGATCCTGTCACGCCAGAGAGCCGTGACAGGGGAGAGGTTGGATTCCCTCCTCTCCGATCCGCCAGCGCTGACTGGCGGATCGGAGGGGGCGGGTACAGCTGGCTCTGCCTCTAGATAGTCAGAGACAGCTGTCACTCACGCAGCTGGGCGGATCCAGACATAATTGTATATAAAGCTATATGCCACCTGAGGCGTAGAATGGGGGTGTTGGAGGTTGCTGCTGACAGTGCTTTATGTAGGTCAGTCCTTTCTAGGACGGAAAGGGTTTGGGGGGGGTCTTTAAATACATTGGAAAAAGTGTCCGGCGCAGCCCCAGTACCATCCGGTGTGAGGGAGCTCTTAGAAAAAGTCAAGTCACCAACCTGGTTGTTCTGTTTGGCAGATCTCTGTAAAGTTTAGGACCGGATAGATAGAAATCTAAGATCCTTTTGCAGGTAAACAGTTGCCATATATGTATTTCAACTGTATATTTGGTTGTTTTATCAGGCGCTCACCTTTTGGGTAATGAAGCAAAGACCTGGGTGTCAGCCCTGGAGCATACCCATTAATAAAATGTCAGCAAGGGCATCAAAGCTATTTGTGTCCTTGCAGATTCACATGGTATTCCCAGCCAGCTTTGGCTCTCAGCTCAGTTTCCTCCTGATACGTGTGCGGTGTTCCATGTATGTTGCAGTGATTGTATTCTGCCTGGCCCTCAGCTGCCAGTTATGGAATAAAGCAGAGGGCAGTTCTGTCATTGAGACCTAAAAGCGAATATCTGAGAAATGATTTGGTAACCCTCTTGAAAGCCATGCAAGTAGACCCGATATGTAGCTTAACAGAGAAGAGCTTTCATTAGTTCTACATGGCAATACGCAGCAAATATACAATGCTTTAAAATTCAGACAGGGTCATCTGTTCCCATTTCTTATTCTTCAGCCCAGACAGTTTGATTTTATGGAAAGTACTAAAGTGCTGCAAAGTGCGGCCTTGCACACAGAGCCTGCCTGTTCTTTCTTATAAGCTGGAGATGCGTCTGTCTTACCCTGATGTATTATTTGCAATAATCCTCTGGTGAGTGTAGAGGTTGATGGCATCAGTGATCCCTGAGCCGGAGATTGCTTGGATCTGCTCTAGGTACGGCTCCTTTCTTACTCCGTCTCTAGCGGCACAATGGATTCATTCATAATACAGCTGATGCAGCCCTTTGCTGATTTCATTATGGCAAGCATGACAAATTGATCTAGAATTCTAAGGCGGTCAGTTGGTCTTTTTTAAAGAGCATTTGCTGGTATAACAGGCGATAGATTTTTGTTGGCAGATATTGGCTAATGTCATGAATGGTTAGTCTACAAACTCGTATTGCTATCCTTGTTTAGTCCAAGGGAGAGTACTCCGGCCACATCTCTAAATGATATGATCTGCCATCTTGATGGATGGGTATCTCTCAGGCAAGCGCAAACAGGTGAGGTGCACGTATATGTGGCACAGGAGATGGACAGGTCCCAAAACCTCAAACACCTATTCACCCTAGGTAGTCATTGTGCTTCATAATTTGTACCTCGGTCTATATGTTTTGTGGTACATGAGTCTTGACAAGCCGCATAACCGTTCAGATCATTCCTGCTCATTATCAGGGGTGATGCAATTGTTGGTGTTATTTGTGATGCAATGGAAACCTTAAGGGACCCGCTATTTTATGGAGGCTGTACGGTGCTTTTTGCCATGGCTCAGTCCTCTTCACTATAACCTGCCTGCTTCTTTTTTTGAGCAGGGAGAGGATGCCATTGCTGGTTACTTCCTAGTATACTTACATGTTCTCTTTGTGTTTTAGGTGTGTAAGCGTATGGATCAGGAGTGTCAACGCATGCTCAACCAGGGATTCCTGCGGGTGGAGCGCTACCACAGCCTGTGTCAAAAACAGGTCAAAGCACAGCTGCCCAGGTGTGTACACCCCTCCATTGTTACCAGATGTGACTGTTAGGAGTGGCGACAAGGTGCCTGCTATACATATGTGTCTAGTCAGATGGCCTAGAGGTTTAATGGATTTGTTGCTTTATCCTTTTTGCCCCTAACCTAACCCACCCTCCCTGCAGATGCATACTTAACTTTAATCTGGTGGATGCAGTTCCACTGTTTATTTATTACAGGTATTTATATAGCGCCGACAATTTACGCAGCACTTTACATAGTTGCACATTCACATCAGTCCCTACCCTCAAGGAGGTTACATTCTAAGGTCCCTATCTCACATGCATACATACGAGGGCCAACTTAGAGAGGAGACAATTAACCTACCAGCATGTCTTTGGAGTACATCGAGCAGAGCAAGTCTTCACTATCTTGGCCGTTACTGGTTTCTATGTGGCTGTGTCCCTAAAATGGTACAGATCGGAGAGGGTCCCTTAGAATTCTAAGCTGTCATGTGAGACAGTAACATTTACACCGCTGGATGTAAACAAACAGCAGAACTATATAGCTGTCAGGTTAGGAAATGTGGAGGGGAGAGAGTCTGAAATGCGGTCTTGTTATTGAGTGGGTCTATAAGACATTTTCCTTGTGGCAATTTCAATCACGTATACTGTTCAGTCAGAGTGAAATATGACCATAAGGTCCTGAACTGATCCAACTTATCTTGTTTGGTGAAAAGTAATTCTTCCTTTTCATAAACCTGATGGACCTGAGCAATCTATTCTGCCACAGAAGATATGTGATCCTCCATCCAGCGGTGTGGTATGATCATCTGAGCTGCAATAAGATGTCTATGTAGAGAGTTATTGGGACCAGAATCTGATTCTGCTCGCCAATGTAATAAAAAAAACGATAGAACTAAATATTGCATAGCGGAACCCGTGATTAGTGTTTATGGCCTCATGTGGCACCATTGGGTTTGAATATGCGGGCAAGACAAGAAAATTTGAAGGAGGGTACCTACTTCACTTTGACATTGCCAACAGGATTGTGGAATGGTGGGGTATATGTGATGGAGAAGTTGGGGGGTGGGGGACTTTTCCTGTACTAGAAGGTTAATCATTTGTAATTAGTCTCCTGCAACTTATTAATGGTGCACTTGTGGACGGTCCTACAGATATCTGAGCAACAGTCTTCAGAAATAGTAATGTTGCGTTCACATTCCCATTTCCTCTACAGAGGGAGTATGTGTTTTCAAGTTGTCCTTTCGTATAAGTGTATATAGCCATCAGATCAAGTTCCTAGAGGAGCTGTCTACTGAGCAGGTTTTCTCGAAGGGGGTAAAAGGTCTAGAGAAGTTTACTTTGCGGTCAGACAATGTTGAGTCTAAAAATGAGACCACCAGGCAATAACCCCGTGGTTCCAGTATTTGGATAGGTCAGTTTTGGATATAAATATCTGGGATTTGACGCAGGTTTTTGCTTTGTCACTCCATTTCTCATATGAGCGTCAGCAGTTACGCAGAAAAGGGAAAGTGGTCACACAGTAAAAAAAAACCTCCACTAAGGGCTCAGCTACACTTAAAGGAGAACTATGAGGTGAGTGAAAATCACTCATCCTCATAGTTCTAGCCGACCTGTGACAATGAGACTGTCACACGTCGGCTCAATAGATCGGGAAGTGAGCTAACACATAGCGTTGCTCGCTCACTTCTCGATCATCTCCCTGCAGAGAGCCGTGACTGTCACTCACGGCTCCCTGCAGGGATTTCCACGCTCCACCAGCGCTGACTGGCGGAATGGAAGGGGGAGGGTACAGCTGGCTCTGCCTCTAGATAGGCAGACCAAGCTGTCAAATCACGCAGCTGGGTGGATCTCGACAGTAATGTCGGGATCCGTCCCGGCTGCGTCGTCTCAGTATACAGCTCGCGGTATACTGAGCTTTGGGTGGCGGGAGGACGCTGGTTTGTGTCCTCCCGTTACCCTTAGGAGAACTATGGGGAAAAGCCCTGACCCCATAGTTCTCCAAGGCTGTGACACGCTGCGCTTGGAGCGGCGGCGTGCTGCCTTCGCGTGCAGTGTGTCATGTAATTTTTTTTCTCTCTGGCACGTAAGCTTGTGGGAGCTCACAAAGCTGAGCATGCTGAGATGAAAAATTTTATCTTCATCGGCTCACACGTATAAACCCGCGTGTCACTATGCAAACTCCGGTTGTTGTGCACGAGCCGATTGGCTGAAGATGCATCTGGCTGCACTCAGCTCACAAACTGCATGCAAAGCTCCGTGCCTGACAGGTTTGCTTCAATCTGCACGGCTTCGCATACAGTGTGTCACGGGCTATATCCATTTTGATGCGCTGCATTAAGGCAGTCCATTAGTTTGACATAACACACCAGAATAGCCAAAAACATTGACACACAGCATTTTTTCCAACTCAGAACACCGTAATGCATCTTAATACATTACTGTGGTTTGTGGTGTGCTGTAACACATGTATGTTTGAGGTCCATTGGATAACTGCATGGGGGGCGCCATTTAGAATAAATGGCACCACAAAACTCTAGTGCATATAAAGTGCATTGTTGTATGCATTACCGTCACTGCAAAAAGTGTGATTTGCCCCGCAGTGACACTAAACTCGGGAGTTAAATCTTAAAAATACATGCAAGTACCCTAACTATTAACAATACACTTATTTGTGTATCACTCGGCTGAAGATCCTCAAATCATCTCTGAATTGGTGCTGACACTGTCCTTCCTTCTGGAGGGGGGCTACTTTTGTCCTCCGTGGTCCCTGTCTGTGTTGTAGTCACCTCTCCAAGATCACTCCAGTGATGGACTACAATCTCAATACAAATTGGTAAACTAAACATGAGATTGTAGTCCATCACTGGAGTGATCTTGGAGAGGTGACTACAACACAGACAGGGACCACGGAGGACAAAAGTAGCCCCCCTCCAGAAGGAAGGACAGTGTCAGCACCAATTCAGAGATGATTGGAGGATCTACAGCCGAGTGATACACAAATAAGTCACATTTCTGTTAAAAGTTAGTTTTGCTTAATGCCCAGTACCTTTCTGTAACCTTTTATTACGTATTAGGCACCGTTCACATTGAGCGATTTATCGCAGGTAATTCCCGCGATATCGCGGCTATTTACCGCGCGATATCGCTCTTCAATGCTTTGCAATGGGGCAAAGGGTCCTGCTGTCGCGCGTCGTGTGTCACTACAGCAGGACCCTTTTTGGAGCGGTTTTTGCCGCGATTCTTGCTTGCTCAATGCAAGCATTTGCGCGATATCGCGCAAAATGCAAATCGCGTGACAAACGTGCGATTTGCGAATCGCACAGTGTGAATGGGGCCTCAATCGTTACAGAGCTGCATTCATTTGTTTCCCCAGAGTTCAACTTTAAAGACCCCCTTTGACCATTGTTCATGTATCCCCCCCCCCTGTCATGTGTATCATTGTTCAACTTTGCCATGTGACCTTTTGCGCAGGAGGGAATCTGAGAGGCGGAATCACTCGCTGGCACGCCATGCCGACATCCTGGCCGCGGTCGAGACTCGGCTCTCTTTACTCAACATGACGTTTATGAAATACGTGGACTCCAATCTCTGTTGTTTTATTCCTGGGAAGGTGAGATGTTCGCTGTGCAAATCACTTCCTGTAATTACATTCGACCATTTTTCTGGGGCGGAAAATGAATCCACCTTGTTTTTAATGTCCGCAGTCCCCAGGTGAATGTGAAGCCAATGTACAGCTGTGTCCATAGGGCTCAAGCTGCAATAAGGGATTACATCTGAACTCTAGGCAAACCGCTAAATGCTCAGCTGAAATACATACATGGGACATAACCAAACTAACTTTTTTTTTTTTTTAATTGGTTGCCACATTATACATTTTAGATTTTGTAATCTACCCTAATGGTTTTACAAGGGCACAAATTGGCAAAAAAGATGTCTGAGGAATCCATTTAATCGGCCACTTCTGGGAGAGTTGAATCCCT